GGGGTAAGTTATAGTAATCGCAAAAAAATCGAAAATGAAAATTTTTATGTATCTTTACGTTTCAGAGGTTTCTAAAAATTTTGGTATATCTTACAATTAGAAAAAATGGATGAATGTTTGTGTGTGCGGATACAAGATTTGTTGGCGATTTTGCGAACACGGAATAACCCATTTGAATAATTCAAAAAAAACGAAAGACAAAAAGTTCCAAAAATGGTATTTCAGTTTTTAAGATAACGGAACGTCCGATTTAAATAATTCAAAAAACATTTAACTTGTATTGACGAAATGACCTTGGTACGGGAAGCTCCAGCAATTTGCCTCAAGGCACGATGCCATGCACCCCACTAGTTAAATAAAAAAAATTAAATGCAGGTTTGCTACCCCAGGTCGCTTATTTGGACTATATCAATCCCACAGCTCTAACCACTAATCCACCGTATCTTTAATAAAAAATAATGTACCATCAGTGAACAAGTTCACGTCGTGTTTGAACGTGTTTGTTGAATCTTACTGTCTACATATGGATATTATTGTCATACTTATCTATTACAAATACATCATTCTATAGACGTCACTATGACGCTTGTATAATTAAGGAAAACTATAAATTTATAAACTATTAAAGTGCAATAAAGTATGTGAAATATAGTGCAGTAAAGTCAACTTTGATCTTTTTTTTTGGCATCTTCACATATAAAACACATATAAAAAATTGAATTTCTAATTTTTCCATATTACGATAGGTTATACCTTCAAAAATAACATACCAAAATTGTAAATCGATATCTTAAATAGTTTTTGAGTTACAGTCATTTAAAGAGTATATATATAGTATATAGTATAACGATCATTTAATCTTTAAACGCGTTTTTCTCGAAACAGCATTTTCCGAATTTGCTGCAGTGACTACTCAGAAACAAATGATCCGATCACTTATGAATTCTTTTTACATGTTCTATATATAGTTCTCCGTAAAATAAACTATCAATTTTTTGATCGGATCAAAAATCGAATTTTGGCAGTCCAAAAACGAACAAAATTTTGGGTAAAATTCGACTTTTTTTAAAAAAACGCCGTCATTTTGTCAATTTTTGATTTTTTTTTCTTTATCGTAGTTCATTTTACAGACAATATTATCTAGTTTAAAAAGAAGTTTTTTTTTATTTTAATTTCATCCACGTGGAAGGCCGGAATCACTGCAGCAGTGAAGGGCCTTTTTTTTTGTCGCGCCGTTGGAGATCGACGATAACTTAAAAAATATTTAATTTTTTTTCTTCAAAAATTTTACTATACATTCTTAAAACATGTATACATATATTCCTAAAATTTTGAAATGATTGATAAAGTAGTTTTTTTAATATAAATTCCCAAAAATCATCTTTTTTATTAGGCGGTTACACTTGTTGTGCCCTGTCTTAAATAAGGTACTTACTTATTTGTTTAAAATTATTATATGCATTGTTTCTGAATTTATATTATATGTTATGAATTTCAAAGTTCTATAGCTCTAATTTAATTACACGGTTTTTATAATGCTGTGAATAGTTAAATCTCAAATATTCATAAATTTGTGTATGTAAAATAATAAATACTTAATTTTTCGTAGAGTAAGTTTTAGGATTCTTGTAGGAAAAATCAAATATTTTTTTCACATATCTTTACGTTTAAGGACTTTCTGAACATTTTGGCATACTTTCGGAAAAATGGATAGTGTGTGTATGCATGTTACAGTTTTTCGTCGACGATTTAAAAAAACAATGGATTCCTGTTGATATAGAGTCTTGCTGATAAGTTTTTGGCAAAAGTTGGTCCAGCCGTTTCGGTGATACGGAACAAAGAATTCAAAAAATAGAAATCAAGTTTTTGAGAGAACGGAGCATTCGATTTGAATAATTCAATTCGTAATTCGTAATTCGAGGTAATTAGTTTTTGGTAAAGGCAAGTCCATCCGTTTCGAAGATACGGAGCTAAATGTGCAAAAAATTGCATATTTATTAGAGAACAAAGCGTCCGGTTTGAATGATTCAAACAAAATTCTGCTGGAGTTGACGAAACGATTGCTTTCGGAGAAAGATTTCAAAAAAATTTTTTTTTTATTTTCAAAAATTTTTTTTAATATCGAATATGATTCATATTTTAATTCTAATTCTAGTTAAAGTTCTAAAACTCACTTTTTTACTTCAAATAAATAATTTTATGTTTATAATATTAGACATTGTCTTTCATTTTAAATTCGAGGTTTCTGAACATTTTGGAATACCGTAGAAAAAATTGATGAATGTGTATGTGTGTGTGTGCGGATATGAATTTCCGTCGACGATTTGGGGAACATGGATCAACCGATTTGAATGATTCAAAATCACTAATTTTAAACGTAATTGAATACAAAATCTATATGTTTATAGCTATCGGAGCTATCAAGTTTATAGCATATTTATAGCTTTATGTAGCTATGCACTTTTGTTTTTTCTAATTGATCAGTTTTTCATATCAACATTGTCACAACGAAAATTCCTCATCTTAAAACGAATTCGAACAATAATTTTCGAATGAAAACATTTACCAATGTACATTTTGAATGAGTAATACAATATGATTAATTTATTACTTATGTCTACTATTAAATGTAGACCTGGTATTCTATTGTATTTGTTTGTGTACTATGTGTGGCCAACAGGCGCCCAAAGTCTGCGTGCTATTGATTTGCGTCAGATGCTCTAATGGTGAATACTTGGCATTCTCGTGTATTGTAGTAAAATACTTTCGGCACTGGATTTGTGTTGACATATCTAATGGGGTGATTTTTTATTTCTTTTGTTAATTACGATCTGTTTTTATACAAAAAAGCATTCAGTAATTTTGGTAATACATGTAAGAATTACATCTATTCTAAATGGTTACTCAGTAGTTGAGACATAATATTCAAATAAATCTAATTTCGATGGAAAATTAATGTTCATTTTTTATCATATATTATTATATCGTTATCACCTCTTGCGTTTTCGCAAAACAAAATTTATGAACACTATATCACATTGAGAGAGTGCATATTGTTAAGGTGACCATATTTTTTAACGTAAGTCGAAACCGGGACGGCAATTTTTAGTTATGCTAATTCAGGTATATAATAAGTTTTTTATATAAATTTTAAGACTTTGTAAAAATTTTTTTATTCGATTATATGCAATATTTTTTTATCTATGATATTATATGTTACATCGATCTATATGTTTTTCGCGATTTTGAGCTTTGTATAATATTCTATTCAATTTTATTCATGAATAATTTGAAAAAAAATGACACTTTGTTCGTTTTCATCTGTTAATTTTCGAAAAACCGGGAAAATCCGGAACAAAAGATCTAAATAATGCTTTTTAAAAAAAACGGGACACAAGGTGGAAATCCGGGACTGTCCCGGCCAAATCGGGACGTATGGTCACCTTAATATTGTATTTAAAAAATCAAAAGAAAATTTAACTCAACACTAAACCTATCAACAATTCATGTATACCTATACCTACTGCGCGCGGTCAAATTGACCTACAATTAAAAAGTTATCTATATTATTATTAACTTCCCGTAGGGTAAATTATATTAATCGCAAAAAATCGAGAATGAAAAATTTAATCAAATAATGCCATTTTGCGGTCGAAAATGATCATTAGACATGTACATTGTATTGTCAGATATTTTTTAAAGATTATTACAAATTTTGTGTACATTTATATGGATTCCGTACCAATGTTTACACGTTAGAGGTTAGACAACTACGCGGCGCTTACGCGCTTTGATATTTTGACACCAAATCAGCTATGCAGCGCGATTGCTCGAAGAAAAATGTTCAAAATTTGCAAAAAAAAAATCAAAATATAAAAAACAAGATTTTCAAAAAGATCATTATTTTTAAAAAAATTTAAAATTTCTCAAATATCTAATTTTTTCAAAGTTTTGCAAAGTTTTTTTTTAATAATTTAGTTTTCGGTACGGGAAGTTCCAGCAATTTGCTTTAAGGCACGATGCCATGCATCACTAGTTTAATTCAGATAATGATTCATTTATTGTCTAATGTATATAAAATAAAAAAAATCAAAGTTTAATCTAAATTCATTTTTATAAATTTTTTAAACGAAATTATAAGAAACAAAAGTAAAATATTTATTTAAAATGCCATATACATACATAATATACTTTATTTGGCTCACATTGTTTACTAATTATTTTAGTCTGAAATGTACATTTGACGCAAATATAATTGTTGTTTAGTACTGAATTAGTGCGCTTATATTTTAATTCTATTAATATTTTAAAAATTGAAAAATATTTTATTTAATATTGTTAGTAAATTTAATATTGATAATATTTAATGAAAATTTACAAATTATTTTACGTACAAAATTCAAAATAGTCCAAAAAGCGAAATATAACAGTTCTTTAAATTAGTTTAAATCAATAACTTTAGTAATGGAATGCGTTATTTGCTGTTATTAGCACATTTCGGTATTATTCAATATTAACACGTTTTTTCAGACCTACATTTTATAATGCTCTTGTAGATAATTCTTAAAAACCTGCAAATATTTTTTGACAACCGTCAAATTATTGATGCCTGATGTAAAGTTTACATCGACATTTAAAATGATTAATTAAATATGGTTCACATAATCTTTTATTACATTCTGGTGAAATATGAAATATTGCTAACGATGATGTGATATTTTATACTACCACTATAATTTTAAGAACTAATCGATTTCAATTTTTGTGAGAACTAATTAACGAACGAGGTGCTATCGAACTCTCTCAAACTGAAAATAGTTATTTCAATAATAACACAATGATTCAGATAATGAACAAACTCAAACAACCTTGCAATTTCTAAGAAAGGTTATATCTAGTGCGATCATGATTAATTATATAATGGTTCATATTCTGTATAAAATAATATAAGAAATCCCCTTTAGATGAATAATCGGTGTTAATATTTTTTTAATTTTCAGGTACCAACTATGGGGGCGTGAGCAAAAATCGCCCAGCACAAACTACATCTACAGGACAGCTGAGTCATACAAATTTGGCCAGTCTTAGCTACGCCGGTTATAACCAAAAAGCGGCGCCAAAACCTCAACCAAAACCATCAGCTCCTGAGCTACCGAAGCAACACGCACCACCAGCGCCAGCTCCAGCGCCGCAACCTAACCCAGGGGTAAAAATATTGCATTAAAAAGCCTGCATTATTAAAAGAAAGATTTATAAGCAAGTAAATACATTATCGGTAGTAGCATATCCTGATGCTCATCTGTGGAATCCCAACCTTTGTTTTCATATATATATTTCCAAGTACAAATTTAAAATCTGTTGGTCTATCACATTATCTAATCTTCAATATTTTATATTTATTTTTTGTGATTAATATTGGTTGATCGTACGAAACTCTTTGAAATTAATCAATTTTAACACTGCATAAATTTCAATTATATCGATATGTCAAATTAATCGATATGATGCTTTTCCAGAACTCAAGACCTGTGGGCTGGAATGTAGATGGTAACCATCCAGCACCACAACAGGGAATCGGCTTTAAACCAGAGGTGACCGCTACGAGACAAAATGCAGGCTCTCTGAATTCACAAAATGCACAGCCTCATGGTCTACCTCAGCAGCCACCTCCATATGGCTCCATTGCTGGTCATAATACTGCACAAGGAGTACCCCAAGGAGCACCTCCACCATACACGCCTCATGCTGCAGGTGGAGCTAATCCTTACGGTGGTCAATATCCACCGCCCTACAGTCCTCATCAACAAACAGGACTTGCACATCCATCAGGAGTCAATCAAGGATATCAACCAGGTGTGAATCATGGTGCTTATCCAAATCAAGGAGGATATCCCAATCAAGCGGGTTACCCACATCAGGCTGGTTATCCACAACAGGCTGGTTATCCGCAACAGGCTGGTTACCCCAACTCTCAAGGATATCATCCAAATCCAGGATATCAACCTGGATATCCTAACCAAGGCTACCACGGTGGTTTCGGTCAAGGTTATCATCCTGGTTATGGAAATCAAGGATTTGGAGGAATGGGTAAAAATTTTAAATTGCTTTTTATGATATTTATTTTAGACAATATTTATTCATATTTTATGATCCACGTCTTAAAATTAGCGCAGCGTTTTTTCATCATATCGTTCAAAAAAACTTGAGAAACGTTAATCATCCTGAAAATATTTTGACGTAAATCAATTGTGATTACGTGCATTTAATAGCAGTTATTTCACTGCATTATGGTAACGGTACGTGGTGTTTTTAAAATATATGCGTATGATAATAGCGTACTATAAAGTTCGCTTATTGTTAGATAAAAAAAATACGCACTCACGTCCAATGTAAGAACTCGTCTTTTCTACCTATATAGGCTAGGCTATATTCTTATGTTAGTTTTTATTTGTGAATCTGCTCTTCCTATAGTATGACGTTTTTAAATTTATTCAAATTCAAAAAATATTGCTCTTCCGAATAATGAACTATGAATTCATTAAACGCTGTTCTTGAACAGGTGGGTACGGATCCTATCCTGGCTATTACAACCAGCGCAGTGGATCCAGTTTTCTAGGATTTGGAAGTGGTCTTGGCATAGGTAATTTTATGATACTTATGATATTGATTTATTTTTTCAACAACTCGTATTTAATGTTGTTTTGTTTGTTCTCGACTTCAGGAAGTTTAGTAACTGGTTTGGCTTTATGGAGTTTTGCTCGAGGATCTAATTCCCATAGCGTAGTTAATGTGTACGACTCGCGAACTGGAGAAGCCTCAAACATTACCTCATTAAATCATCCATGTATAGCAGATATTGTTAATGGAACAAACGCGACCTCGGTGACTGTAATTTTGGCACCAAATTGCACATTTGTATCTCAAGACATGCAGGGTGCAAATAATTTCACAATCGATACTGCTGAAGCACAGAAAGAGATTTTGACAAATGGAACTGAATCATTGGATTTGAAAGAGATTGGTTTAGGAGGCTTGAATTTAACAGGAGTAAATTTGACAGAGGCAGTTGGTAATGATACGAATTTGTTACATCTAAATACTCAATTTAACATGACGGGGCCAGATGGAATGCCTCCTCCTTCCATGTTTTTACCAGCAGGTAAGCATATAAATATTGAACATATATAATTTATCACAAATAACAATATTTTAAAAATTATTTTCAATTAAATTTTTACGCATTGCCTTGGCATTAAAAAAGTAAGTAATTGTTTGTATTTATTGTATACACAATTTTGATCTTAATAATAAATTCTAAGATTGAATATTCTAAGTTATGAGATACAAAATAAGTCATGTAACTTTTATTTATGGTGCTAAAAACCAGTAATTTTTCAAATTATATGGCTTACCTGTGAAACAGTTATTTTCTCAAAATGTAAATAAAATGTAGAGGTAACCCCCGCATAACACGGTAGTTACGTTCCAAAACAGTAGCGTGTTGTGCGAATCCGTGTTATGCGGGACAAAGAACTAGTACAAAAAGAGGGGTTGCGTTCCAATAATTCAGAAAAATATGCTACAAACCATGATTTTATAATAAATATCGTTATATATATTTTTTAAGCAGTAGTAATATACATTACATGGATTATATGATTTTTGTCGTCATATTTAAGTAAGAGCTATCCAACACAATTCTTTTTTTTTGCAAGGTATCCTCATCTTCTGTAGTTTTCTGTACCTACAATTCCTTGCATTATTTTTTGCAAAAACAATATATTTGCGATTACTTGCTTAGATATTTATATATTATCAAGAAGATATTTACATATTAACCACATGCAAAGTTAGCTTTATTAAAATTTTCTTTATTAAAAAATCTTTGTTTAAAAATAAGACTAATTGACTATTGAGTAATTGTTCGAATAAGCCTACAATTTTTTTTCTATAGAACGAACGCGCTCGAATAATAACTATCAAATTAGTTATTTTTGCACTAGATTTTACTAATTTTAGATTAAATAAAGTTGAATTTTCATACATTTTATTATATTTTTTATTTTATTAGGGTTTTGCTCAATTATCAAACCGTGTTAGAGTGAACCCGTGCTCTAAAAGTGTTATAAGGGGAATGGTATCAATTCTTAAACCGTGTTAGAGCGAATCCGTGTTATAGAAAAACCGAGTTATGCGAGGGTTACATGTATTAATAGTTTCTTTTACATTAACCTGTTTTACGATTTTTATTGTTTCTATGAAATTCAACATTTAGTTTTTGAAATGAGATATGTATATAAGTGTTCATAATTGTACTAGCGGATTCAATCTTCAGAATGATTTCTTGTTTATTCTATTAATATATTAGTATGATACAATTAATTTTCTAAATCACTTGTAATTTTTACAGCTACCGAACTTACAAACGTTGAAGGTGCTCCTAAGGATATTAACACAATGGCCAACAACCCTGACACGGGCGTCCGTCCTTTATCGGACAGTAATGCCGATGTCAGCAATGGGGGCGGCACCCTTCTTGCCCAAGCTGGTGCTACTTCGCAGGCTCAGCTGGCAACCAGTGGCGCATATTCTGTTTTATTAAAGAATTTTAATATATCCATACTTGGTGTAATTGCTCTGATAGTTCGTATTGTAATATAAAGTTCTATTTGTTTGCACTAGCAGGAATGGTGCAATGCTTTTTTTAAAAAAAATGTGAACAAAAATTTCAATGATGATATAACCTTGGCATCTTTTAATTCTATATTATATCACTAATTCGGATAGTTCCATATTAATGCATCTAAAAAGCACTCTAATTTTTAAACATTAAGTGTTTTATATTGTTATATTTTTTATTATTTTACCTTTTCTATTGTTGTTACTATCACTAACACTGTCATCTTTTTATAAATTTCAATAGCTTTATTTTATTTCAGTAGAAACTGAATCATAAGAACTCACTATTGTTTATCATTCCATGTGTATTTTCATATATTCTAGAAGTATATATTATTCTAAAGCAAATGCTTAAATATTTGGAAAATATATTGCTATGTGTTTTATATGAGTTCATTTGATATATGAAGTATCGGAGCATGTTTTATTTGTGTTTTATTTATCATCGTATATCTAATTGTTTATTTAACTGAAATGTGTTTAAAAAATATTATATAATTCTTACTTATTTATGATAAAAATTCAATTTCCATTTAATTATAAGATTCTTTGACAGGTTTTAAGACTGTTGATTCGTTTTAACCACATTTAGAGCAAGAGTTAAGGTTAACATAATCAGTATAATATTTCAATAATGTGACAATGAGTAATATTTGTACTATTGTAATTGTACTGATAACACAAATCTCTAACATATAAAACATATTCATTTTTCTTCAAACATAACTAAATCACATTTTTGATATATTTTGACATATATATATACATACATACATATATATATATATATATATATATATATATATATAAATAATATTGTTAAAACTTAAAAATAACATGATTTATAAAAATATAATTTCTTAGTCCTATAAATATATGTAGTGCCAAGTTACAAGAAATAAATCATGATCATTCTTTACTACTTATAAGTAATAAAGAATATGGATTCTTTATTTTTTGTAATTTAGCACTTTCTATATTGAAGATAATAAAAATACAGCATCACAAAGAATATCAGAAAATTTAATGTGTCTGACAGAAATCTTCTGACTTCAACTTTTTTATAGTTTAATAGTTTGTAGTTTGGCTGTGACGAGAATCCAATTGAAAATGCATCTCGTAATCTCTTTGATGTTGTAACTGTTATAGAAATATCAGAAATAATATTTGATATTTGATATTTCTTATGTACTATATTTTTGGAAATAAATATTTATGATTGATTAGCTTACAAAATTTGTTTTAGATGCATAACTATGCATTTGAATATGATATGTCCTCAAAAGACATAAGTAATTCAGTCGACTAGTACATTATATTATAATAGGCAAATTGTGACTTTTAGCTTCTTAAGTATTTTTACATGGAAGTCTATAGTTTTCAATAGAATCAGAATCATATTGGTCATCACAACATTATTCATATTGATGTATTTAGTTGAATTTATTTGAGGACCCATATGAATCAAACAACATAAATTTTCACTTGTATCTGTTTTTATTTGATCTTTTATTTTTATACAGCAATTTATGAAAATTACTTAATTGCATCAAATTTTACCATTAAATCACACTATAAGTGATTACTTACTGGTAAAAAAATATCACAAATTTTATAAATAACAGAATTGAATATATGTAAAACTTCTATTTAGATAAGTTAACATTTCAATGTTAAGTTTTTTTTTTGAATCGTTAGGAACTAACTATCGGCCAAAAATCGACCGGCACAAACTACATCGAAACAACAGCTGAGTCATGCAGTTTTCACCAGTTTTAGCTTTGATGGTTATAACCAGAAAGCAGCGCCAAAACTTCAACGAAAACTATCCGGTAACATGTATTTTGGAATTTTTACCATGGAATAAAACGAACTTGAAATATTTTTTTAATATGTTTTATTCTATTTATTCAATATATTTTTTGTATATTTTATGTTTTATTTTTGAACGACTATCATATATAATATCTGAGTCGATTGTGATTATTGCAGATCTCAAAGGCTTCTAACAGAAATGGAAAAAACAATCATGCAACACCCGTATCACGGACTCGGTTTTTAACCAGAGTTAGACGCTACAAGGCAGAATAAAAATCTTTTGACAAAAAAAGTAGCATGAATGCCATGCTACATGTGCAGATATTTCCTCATCAGCAAACAGGACTTGCACATTAATTAGGGGTAAATATATGAATTAATCCTTTATAGAGGATATAAACCAGATCTAAATTATGATGCAAATCGACAACTTTTACTAGCGGCTTCGACCCTCAAGGTATTCTCAAGAATATCGACCGAATCCAGTAGGATATCAGCCTGGACAGGATAACTCAGGCCATCACGGTGGCTTGAGTCAAAGTTTTCATGCTGATTTTATAAAAATCGGAAATATTCTAATTCAGGATTCAGACAGAATGAATAAATTGTGCGATGACGGCCAACTTACGTTTGATGTATTTATTTATTAACTTCCCGCAGGGTAAGTTATAATAACGCAAAAAATCAAAACTAATTTTTTTTGCATATCTTTACGTATCAAGACCTTCTGATCATTTTGACATACCTTCAAAAAATTGATGTATGTGTGTGTGTAGTATGTTTGTATATATGAATACAATTTTTCGTGGACGTTTTCAGGAGCACCGATTAGAACCGATTTGAATTTGCGGTTTCGGAGAAGCAGAAATAATTGCCAAAATTGACATTTATTTGTCACTGATGATTTTTACAAATCATTATTATTAATTCATATAAAGAAATTAGTAAATAGGTAAACAGTTGGAAAGATTAGAAAAATAGAAAAGACGTAAGCAAAACGTAGAGAGATGAACTGGTTGGCAATTATACCTGGTAGACAGGCCGATAAACAGGTAATTAGGCAAAAAAGAGAAAAAGACATGTACACTGATATACTAGTAGACAAGTGAACATATAGATAGGTATAGGCAAATATTCAAATAGACTGAAACACAAGTAGACATATGAATGCATAGGAAGGTAAACAGATGCACAGGTAGATAGGTAAGCAGGTAACAGAAATAAATGTACGAAGGTAGCCAGATAGATAGGTGACAGGTGGACAGGTAGATAATATTTAAATTAAATAAATATTATTGAATAAATTGATTATTAACTTCCCGTAGGGTAAGTTATAGTAATCGCATAAAAATCGAACATATTTTTTTCTATATATTTTTACGTTTCAAAGGTTTCTGATCATTTTGGAATATTTTACAAAAAATGGGTGTATATGTGTATGTGTGGGTACAAATTTTTGTTGACGATTTCGGGAACACGGATCAACCGATTTGAATAATTCAAAAAACATTCGATTCGTATTGATAAGGAGTCGTGCTTATCAGTTTTTGACAAAGGCAGGTCTAGCCGTTTCGAAGATACTGAGCAAAAAGAGCCAAAAATGGTAATTAAGTTTTTGAGAGAACGGAGAGCCCGATTTGAATAATTGGTTCCGTACCAATTAGTATAATGAAAAATTGGTTCAGTTCCAAATTTTTAGAAAGACAGATTAAACGCTTTCAATATTTGGAAAAAACTATTAATTTTCTAACTTGCTTGTATATTTTTCAGCTTCCGAACTTAAAAAAGTGAAAGGTTCTCCTAAGAATATTAGGACCATGGCCAACAATTCTTAAACTGGTATCTGTCCTTTATCGGACGGAGATGCCGATATAATATCAGTAACGGTGGCGGCACAGTCCTTCCTACGTCGTAGACTCAGTTGGCAACCAGTGGCGCACATTTGTTTCAAATATTATCTGCAGGATTTTACTCATTAGTTGACCTGAAGTAACCATCTTAATTTTTAATAGAGGGCGAACGAACATTCTGAACGATAAGTAGATATAAAACCACGTTTTAAAAAATAATACATATATTTTACGATTTTAACTAAACAAATACATAAGTGAGAGAATTAATTCAAATGATAATGCATACGTTAGAGACGAAATGTCGGAATATATTATTCAACCACACGGGGTCCGATGAAACGATGGTTGCAGAAAGATCATTGTTTAAAATAATATATTGTCTTCTTATGAATAAAATATACTGAATACTGGAACAATTGCAAAATAATTAAAGTCTAGAGAATTGAAAGTGTTGATGACTAAATTTTTAATTTAAATATTATTTATCTAATTATGTAAATTTATTTGGACATTTTATTAATCAAAATTATTAACAAAAAGCAAAATGATTCAAATATTTTCGTTCGTTTAATAGGAAATCTAGTCAAACATATGATATCTTCTAATGAATTTATTCAATTTAATTTATTTATTAAATTATGTGTTAATTTTTTTCTGATCTGGAGCTGCAGTTGGGTTTAAATAATGTAAGTGAAGATTTCAGTGAAATCGGTTTTTTCGTTCCGAACGATGTTGTGTTTCATTATTGATATGCTTTTTGTTATAAAATAATGATTTCTTCTAAAAATTATTATAATATTTACTATTCTATCGGATCTCAAAAGTTTATTATTTATCCACTTTGCGGCGCATCGTTCCTTCCGACAATTTGTATTGCAATTTTATATATATTATTAAATATCTGTAACATATTATTACTAACGAGAATCTTTATGCAGGCAGATATTTTTGTATTTTTTGAACAGCGATTAGCTATAATTTAATAAGCTGGCGCTATGATACTTCTTCTCAACGTTGCCTATAAAAGGCAATAAAATAGCTGTTCTAATAGTTTTTAGTTAGAAAACAATGATTGTCTTTTGCAATAAAGATGATTTATAAATTACTAATAATTAATATATTCGACAAAAATTAAAATTGAATTGGCATCTACAAATTATTTTTCATATATATTTTGTGGGTCCGGCGTTGGGAAAATCGATTCGGACGTAAGCGAATCCCGCCTTTGCCAAGGCCGGTATCAGGCAGCATGATGCGAAATTATGGCTTGAGTTATAGATGTCGAATATAGTCTCAAGTGTAAATCATGGGCATAGCTGCATATAAAATGTGTTTGTTCATCACTATTAGATTTATCTAATAAATTACTCTCCTAAAAATAGAATGGTTAACCTTTTATAGAAATACTACGTTAAAAAATGTTCAACAGAAGAATCTTATAGAACACGTAGTTCTGATTGCTC